TTCTGTGTACATGTACTCAGGGGTCAATATTGGCATGAAGTCAGAGCAGAACATTAAACTGCTTCCTTCATGTCCAGGCATGTCCAGTAACTGCTACAGTGGCTGTCACAAGTCCCTGACCAGTTACTCCATCCAGGTATTCTTGTTTTCTGGATGTAACAAGCCAACCTGGCACTGCCTGCTGCTGGCACGCTCACAGGTGTGCTGTGAAGCTCCCTCCCTTTAGGGATCCATTATAATATCACAAACAGCCAAGTGCTGGAGAGATAGAAGCCCAAATTACAGCAGATCATCAGTTCTATGAACTGGAAGTCACCAGTTTAAGCATGTACTGAAGCACACTGCTGTTCTCAGAAGAGTTCTTATAAAACATTTGACTTCCCAAGCAGACAAGCTACATTCAAAAATCCCTTTGCCAGCCAGCCAAGGGATTGCTGCCTCTGCCACATGCAGGTTCTGGAAGAAGGAGGATGTGACCCACCTGACCTTGCCTTGTCATGAGCATTTTGTTGTCTAAGACTCAATGAACATGCACCTCCCTTACAGATCTCATTATCTATTAGGTTATATTACTAGACTAACTTGAGATATGAGTTAAAAAGCCACAGATCCTACATCAACCTCTGCTAGGACAGTGTCCCCGGCACCATAACGTGCCTACAATGTCATTCCAAACTCCGGCAACAATCAGTGAACAGCTGTAAGCAATCAATATGTGTGTGGGAGATGACATGTTGACTCACATAAAGCCCTACTCTGACAGTACCAAGTGACTTGCATTTCTAGTTTCTTCACTGCAAGCTTTCAGGATTGGCCCAGTGCATTTTACAAACCACCTAATAAGCCCAGTTTTAACTCCTGGTTTTTACAACCGCTACTCAACACTTCGTACCACCGAGGAGAAGAAATCAGACACACAAAGGTACCAACTACTAGAAATCTCAGAAGTTACTCCAAATTAATCACAGGAGAGAATCCCAAGAATTCAAAGCTGGCAACCTTTGAAACAACAGGAGCACGAGTAACCTTGGCACATGGCAGCTGGTACCTCCACACCCCTTAACATCAGCTGTGACAAGTTACCTTTAGCACTGGTGCTGGCAAGCAGGAGTATGAAGGCAGAACCAGGGCTCAGCAAGAGGCCAGCTGAAGTCCATCACTGAACTGCAAAAGAAGGACAAACCTAATGACACGCAGAAAGGATAAATTTTCCCCCCGTGAAAAGGACAAAGAATGAAAAAATAAACACATATTGTTTCCCAGCAAATAAAACTTGAATTGTGGGTTGTAGAAGTAGGGATAAGTTATGTAAGCTTTAGTTTAGTTCCTGGAAAAATAATAGAGGAAGTAATCGGTAAAACATGTTTAAAGTCAGACAATGGCAGTGGCAGAGTGAGGAAGCAAGAATGCAGCCATAAAGCCATGGCTAATATTTGTCTGGGGCATAAATAATCCATCTAGTTGAACATTGCATAGCCCTAAACTCAAACGCTCCTCCATTTCTCAGCCCGTTTACACAAAGGAGAAACCCCAGGTGGTACAGGGGCAGCAAAAACATCCCAAGTGCATGCAGGAGCATGTGTTCCCCACGGCTGGGAGGAGGCAGCAGGAGGGTTCTCTTCCTGCCACAGCCCAGAGCATTATTAACACCACCAAATCCACAGCTCCACTATCCCTGGTGCCTTGCACCCATTTGTTCTGGAGCACATCACCCCTCAACCCCTGCTCAATCTGGCAGCACTCACGTTCACCAGGGTTTTTTCCCAGCCTATCTCTGCCCCCCACACCAGGGCTTTAAAAGCCCCATGGGCTCCATGATCCCTGCAGCTCCTGCCTGGTAATGGGTATTTTGGAGCCCATCCTGGTGGCTGGACCCTGCCTTGGCTGCCTGGTTTGGTCACTTCAGCACACAGAAAATCCCACTTCTTGGCAGGCACAGGGTGAGGTGTGCAGAGGGAAGAGAGGGGCAATACCCCCCCAAACTTGAGGTTCCCCAGGGAAGAGCAGCAGTGAGCTCCTTACAGAGGGAATTGCAAATGGGTCCCATGCCCTGCTGTTGGTGGCTGGGATGGGGGACGCATGTGAGGACTTGCTGCCAACCACTGCAGTCTGGGCAGATACTGGCACAAGGCACCAAAAGCCTAATCCAAGGTAGCCCCTGCCCCAGAGCTGCTAGCCCACCACCACCATGGCTGGGTTCCCAGTTATTTAGGATGTTCTGTGCCTCAGCCACCCTCCAGACTGATCCCAAACTCTCAGTGTTCCCAGGTTAGGTCAAGCACCCACACCCCCAGTCTTGCACAGCCCTGGGGTGGTTGATCCCAGATATACTTACCTCCTCCCGTAAATAGCCTTTCACTCCCTGCTGCTCCTACACTTTCCTCCCTGTTCCCTGCCATTCCCTGAGGAATGGGAAGGACTTTGGGCAGGATATGGAGCTCTTGAGAGGGCAAGGGCTCATCTCCCTTTCCCTTGGGCACCTGTGGTTTCATGGCCCAGGTGCCAGTCGACTCTTTCAGTTCACACATTCAGCTTCCAACCAGGTGTAACTCCTTTGCAGCTCCTCTGCTTCCTCTCTCAGGGGAGCAGAAGACAAAGGAGTTATCTCCTCTGAGATTTTGTTCTTTTCCACCTGGGAATCCCATACAGAAAAGCATCATGGTCCTATCATTTACCCTGCAGCTCATTTGCTGTGCAGCCCATTTGTTTAGGTCTGCGAGCCCTAAAAACCCTGAGCACTGTGGGGGTGCTCAGCCACAGCCCCCTGCAGCTCCCCCCTCTTTTTGAAGCTGGCTGTGCCCTGCTGCTCCCTGCCCAGATAGGCAAATTCCACCATGGGGTGGCCTTGTCGCCTGGTACAAGTGGCACAAGTCACTGCTGACCAAATGAGGATTTCCCTTGCCTCAAACCCCAGAGCTTTTGCTATGCAGCAAACCTTTTAACTCAAACCTTAAAATGAGGGAGGGTGATGCTCATGTGAACCCTCGTGTGTGTGCTGGGTGTAGGGACACGTGGGCAGGAGGCAGCAGCCAGGTTTGTGAGTGCTTTAATTGCCCTCAGGAATTGCTTGGTGTGGAGTTGGCACTGGCTTTGTAACCCACATTCCAGAGGGAACCCAGCACACGTGATGTTGGTGCTCTGCCTGCAAGCTGTTCAGCTCCTCTTCTCCTGCACTGCTTCAGCCCCCTCCTGTCCCACTCTGTCTATTCTATCCTACTAATTTTTAGCCAAAATTATCAGAGGGTGAGCTGTGAATTGGTCTGAACCCTGGCAAGCCTGGCAAAAGCTAACAGGAAAGTGTGGGATAGGCAAGCAGGAGGATGAAGGGGCTTGAGCACTCCTGGCACGAGGGGGAGGAGGGCTGCAGAGCCAGGCTGTGTGTGTGGGCAGCACAGTGCTGCCTGCCTGCCTGTGCCTGGCTTGATGCCACCTGTTCCAGGTGAGGATGCACGGCAGGGTGTGATTGGATATGGTTAGGGGGGCAGCAGGAAGGGAGGGAATATGAGGAAAGGGCTGAGGTGACATGATGAGATAGGATGTGAGGGGACAGGATGGGATGGAAGATGCAGAATGGGCTGCTGGATAGGATAGGGGACAGGATGGAACAGGATGGGATGTGAGGAGATAGGATGGGAAGGAAAGGGTGCTCGGATGGATATCTGCAGCCCTTGGACTGCTCCTGGCCACCTCTCCCTGGCCATGCACCATCATCCTTTAGCACAGGGAGGCTGTCATCTGGGATGGCTGCACTGGCAGGGGGACAGGGGCAGCAAGAGGGGCAGGTGGGAAATGGGGGACAGCCTTCACTCCTCCTCAGTATTTGGGCAAGTTTAAAAATTACCAAGCACAGAAGAGGAGCAGGATCCAAAGGAGAAGGGTGAATCAGCTTGTCAAAAGACTGGTGGCGTCAGCCCAGGATTATTAGTGTTTATGTGCAGAGGGAGCTCTCCTGCACCAAGGTTGCTCCCTGCATAGAAGCATCTTCCCTCCTCCTCCTCCTCCTTCTGCTCCTCCATGCCAAAGGGAAAATGATGTAAGGTTGGTTCTTTCTTTTTGCATGAAACATTTTTTTTTTAATGTTTTCTAGCCAGCTTCTCAAATCATCCAGCTCATCCTGTGCATGGAGAGTAAAGCTGAGACACAGCACAGCCCTGGCCTGCTGCAAACTCCACTAGGCTGGTTGAAGAGCACATTCAGGGCCAGGGCTGTGCCAGTGCAGCACACAGGGAAACTTACCCCTGGGAGAACTGCTCAGGACACCATAATAAATAAATAAAAAAAACCCCAGGTATCCAAATTGCAGCCAAGATCCTCCGGGCAAGGAGAGGGGAGGTTGTGTCACAAGCCAGGGCATGCTTCCTTGCTTCTCCATCAGGACCCACTGCTCAGAAATTTAGGACACACAGCCCAGCTGAAGTTCCAAGATTTGGGCTGTTGGGTTTTTTTTTGAGATGCTGAAGACCTCTGGCAGGGTGGCTGCTTGCCACCAAGGAAGATGTGGGGTCCAACTCCCCTCCCAGGAGCCTGGGAACCTTTGCCTTGCCCTGGCTGAGGAGTGGGAGAGCTGGGAGCCCGGGATGTGGGCAGACCCCACTGCCTTCCCAACTCTTCTCTTGGCTCTGCATCCTCCTGCTTTCTCTCCCTATGGCCAGGCAGGAGTTTATCTCAGGCAAGAGAACAGTCTTGCAAAATCCTCACCGGCCATGAAAAATGGAAAGCTGGGCTGAGCAGGGATGCTGCCTCCTGCAGCCAGCTCCGGCTCTGGGCATTACTGGAGTGGTTGAGCATCAAAACCCCTGCCAGACACTGAAGGGTTGTCCCAGACCCCTGGATTTAAGTGTCAATGTCCTTGGGGGTGGTGAGGGCTGGATGCAGCCATGGCAGGCAGGCTGTGAGAGTTGCTGGTTCCCAACGTCCGGGGAGTTTTCTTTGCAGCTCCAGAGCCCACTGCTACTAAATGTCCAAACCTGGGGAACCCAGGGGATTTCCAAAGAGCATCAGACTGTTTTAAAAATACTTTATTCTTTAGAAAATACAGCGTTCAGTACAGTGTGCTCTGCTCCCCCCAGCTTCAACCCCCTGACTCCGCCGAGGTCAAGGCAACATCGGCACGTTCACCCCACAGCTGGAAAGCAGAGGGCAGGTTTCACCGACCCCCTTTCCATCCTCCCAGGGAGGAAGGTGACTCTCAAGCCCTCACTGGAACCCAGCAGCAAGGTGCTCTCCCCCAGACCCCAGCGCAGCCCAAATCACAGTGCCAAGCTCGGCCCGTGGAGCCCTTGGTGGCTGGGGACATCTGTGGGGGGCACACAGGGGCTGTCATGCTTCCCTGCACAAGGATTTGGGGTAGCCCATGTGATTATTAAGACATGGGGCTGCCCCAGCCCAGAGAGCCAGCTGAAAACCCGGGGGATAACAGTGGGGGCTGGGGAACAGGGGGACCAGGGCTCAGGAGCCCCTCAGCTCCCATCCTAAACAGAGATGGGGCTGAGTCAGGGCTGTAACAGATCCTTCTGAGGGGAAAAGCCTTACTGGGGCGGTTCAAAAAGGGGATGCAAACATCACCCAAAGGCAGAGTGACCTTTCTCCAGGTCCAGGCTGAGCTTGGGACTCAGTGGGGAACTTCCACCTCCCGCTGCCTGGCTCTCTGCAGGGAGAAACTCCCACCCCGCCAGAAGCAAAGCCCACCCTACAGGAAGGGGTCCTGCCCACACCCCGAGGGGGTGCAGGATCACTCCAGGCCTGGGGCAGGGGGGCTGTGCACACCAAGAGCAGGACAGGGGAACAAAGTCTGGGGGAGCAGGGAAATAAGCCTTTTCTCTCTTCAAACAGGAATCCCCAACGCCACCCCCTTCCCTTTGCATAGAGCAGCTTTCAGGTGAGCGTGCCCTTCAGACCCCCAGGGACTGAAGTCCCCAGGGAGAGCAGCGGCTGCGACCCCGGGGGGGACAGAGGCAAGGCTGGGGACGTGGCCCTGCTGCTCCCGTCCTCCCCTGGCAGCCCCGGGGCTCGCACGGGGAGGCGGGGAAAAGAAACACCGACAGCCCTGAACCCTCCCCATCGCTCTGCCCCCAGGTGCAACAAGCCATCCTGATGTTTAAAAAAGGAATGAAATAGGAAAAAAAAAAAGGGGAGGAAAAAAAAAAAGAAGGCTGAGATGGAGGGAAAGCTCCCCAGGTCAGCGCAGAGGAAGGTGGGCAGCGCCGCGGGGATGCTGTCCGTTCACCGCCCGGCCCGGCGGGATCTAACTGTCCTCGCCGTTCTCGCCCGGCCCCTTGATCAGCCGCTTCTGTCCCCGCTTGCCCACGGGCCCCTTGGGCTTGGCGAAGGCCTGCTTGAAGGCGTGCTGCTTGGGGTGCACCTCCTCGTACAGGAACTCCGCCGTCAGCTCCGCTCCGTCGTCGATCTCGATCTGCACCCGCAGCGGCAAAGGGAATTAGCAGCTCCCTTGGCTTCTGACACCCACCCTTGGGGCACAAAACTCGCCCCGAAGCCTTCCAGAGGGGCTGGAGAAAGGCTGCAGCACAGCCCCTTGCTGATGCCCAGCACGGGTCTCTGCTCCCTCATCTCTGGGTGGGCTCGCACTTACCTTCTTGGCTATCTCCAGGCAAAATTCCTGCTCCACAGTGTCCAGCAACCGGCTCTTGCAGCTGGAGTAGAGCATGCGCTCCTTGATGCTGCACTTGTACCCGGGCATGGAATAGATAAAGACTGCGAGAAGAGAGCAGGGCTTGGGGTGCTGCCCAGGCCTATGGCCAGGGTACACCAGCTGCATCCTACCCTGGTCACATCTTTTCCAGCCCCGAGAATCCCAGTTTATTCAGTGACAGAAGGTGAGCCATCCCATCCATCACCCCTCCCAAATCTCCCCTGGTATGCCTGTCATGCACTGGCCACCAAACCGCCCCCACAAATCCTCTGTGGCAGCACTCAAGGTCCCCTGCTGCACCATCCCTATCCCCATCCTTGCTTGCTCCCCATGTGAGCAATGGTCCAGGGAAAACGGGGACCCCCACAGGTTTGAACCAGCCAACCCCAGTGCCAAGGCTCTCACCGACAGACTCCAGGTAGTCTCCCTCATGTGAGTGCTTGTACAGGAAGAAATGGTAGCGAGCTGAGTCCTGGGGGATCCTCTTGGGCAGGTCAGCGATCTCTGTAGGGCTTGTGTGCACCAGGTCGATGGTCTCCCGCTCCAGATCCAGCTTCTGATGGACAGAGGGATGGGGGAGCAGATAGGAGTGAGAGATGGCAGCAAGAGGGAGGGGAGTGGGGCACAGAGGAGCCATGTGAGGGACCTACCAGCTGGATGTAGTTGATTTTCTTCTGCTTGAGTGCCTGGATGGCTTGCTGGGCATCCAGCTGCAGGGGGAAGGCCAGGCCCTGCAGTGTCTGGTGCTTGCTCTCCACACTGATCTCCGTCTTCACCTGGGGATGGAAACCACCTCGAGTGTCAGGGCACAGTGGCAAAGGGTGGGGAAGGGAGAGAAAGGAAAACCAGCCAGTGCTGCAGCTAAAAGCTTCTCATCCAAGGAGCTTCCTGACACCCAGCTCACAGGGACTACAGCATTAAACTGCCAAAAGTCAGCCCGGCTCAGGATGGTGATGCTTGTCACTGTAGCACTGCTCTGGGAGATCACCTGGGCCCAGCCATGCACCCCTGCACCCCACACTGCACTCCCAGCAAAGACCAGCTCAAAACCAACGTTTCCCAGCGAGTGCCTGACAGCGATACTGCGACCAGTGCTGGCACATTTCCATCTCCAGTCATCTCCAACTGCTACCCGTGGGACAGGGGGAGCCCTGAAATGACAGGTTGCACAGGTCCCCACCAGCAGGGAGGACAACCCACCCTCCTCAGTGCGTTGAACTGCAGCACACAGGCATTCCCTCCAACGCTGGAGCTGGGGAACTGGAGATCCACAGTTGGGAAAGATCCCAGACGCTGTTTTCCCCACAACCCCTGAGGCTGCTGCCTGTAACCCCTAGTCCAGGAGATCAAACCCCACTTCAAAGAGGGAAGAGAAAGAGATTGCAGAGACATGGCATTGCCCCGGGTGCCTCCATCCAGCCACAATGGGGGTCTCTCACAGGGACTGGAGGGGAAGGGGGGTCGGGGCGCGGCGGGCACACCATACCTCCTCGGGGTCGGGGTACTCTACCAGCGATGGGCAGCAGCAACAGCCCCCCACCATCTGCCACAGAATACAGGGAGATGGCGTCACCCCGACGGCGGAGGAGCCCTTCCCACCTCAAGACCCCCTCCCAGGGAAACAGCCCAGCAACTCTAACCCAGGTGCTCTGCAGCGAGCGTGGGTCCCTTTCCTTTGGGATCTGTTTCGGAGATTACAGATAGAGTCCAACCTTTATGTTTTTTTCTTTCTTCATTGCCCTCCCCCTGACAGAAAGAAGGAAGAAAAGTCAAGGCAAGGCATGCCAAGAGAAATGCAGGAGTCTGAGCTGACATCTCAAAACCACTCGGCAGCACCGAAGTGGGTCTCTTTACAGGGCTGCCCTTTGTTACAGGAGCCTCACATGATACCCACACCCCTGGGGAACGATGGGCTCGGGTGCCCGGAGCAGAGCATGCAGAAAAACAATGCCAGGAGAAGGAAAACCGGGCATCAAGCAGGCAGAGCAGCCTACCATCTCGGTGCTCGAGTCTTGGGAACAGGAATCCTGCGAGCGTGGGGAGAGGAGACACATTGTCAACAGCACCCTGCGCAGGGGTGGGGGGGTGTCTCGTGTGAAACAAGAAGGGGTGGGGGACACACGGACATGCCGGGAGGATGAAGCTGTACCATGTCCCTGCTGGAGGCCACGGAAGGCCACTCCTGGCAATGTGGGCAGAGAGAGCAGCAAAACATGACACAGGAGATGTCAGAGCTGGAGAGGAGTGGGAGGGAGGCCCCCAGCTCCGAGCCTGGGCAGCCCTGCATGCAGTGTCTCTGCCAATGTCTCTGTGCAGAGCCTGTCCCTGCCCCATCTCCTGCTGGCTGCCCAGCTGGGGTGGCCCCAGCCCAGGGTTTGGAGGAGTTCCAGCATTTGCAGCAATAGATTTTGGGCTATGCCAAAGGTTTAGGAGGAAAAAAACGCCCAAAGCTCTATCAATACCAAGCATCCTGGAGGATGAGCAGAGTGTGAATGCAGAGCTCTTGAGAAAGGGAAATAATTGCTTAGGTAGGCACAAAGTCCAGCTGACCTCCAGCTCTGCTGTCCTACCATCCCCTGGGATGCCATGGCACCAGCAAGGGTGCAAAGGAAAGCACACAGGGATTCAGGATGCACACAAGCTTGCCTGGTCTCACCCTGTGGAGAGGTGCAGTGCAAGGACATCACCTCTGCCAACACCCCCAGACCCTCAGCTTTCTCTCCTGTAAATGCAAGGAGACTGGGAGGATTATAGCAGGACTGGTGAGAACTCAAGCTCCAACATGAAGCACACTGAGGTCCAAAAACACCACGAGATGGAACTTTGTCCTAGCAACACCAACTTCCCCATACCCCTCTGTATTTTCTGCTCCTTCCCTTTTCAAAAACACTGAAAACTGGCTCCCTGAAACATTCCCCAGGGCACAGCCCGAGAGCCAAGCATGGGACTGCCAAGCATATGCCACATCCCGGCTGCCCAGCCTTGCTGGTAGCAGGCTTGCCTGCGGGGTCACTTTATCTCCTTTTCTTTAGGTTAGATTTTCCCCACTTCCTTCCTCACTCCTAGCATGGTGCTGACCTCGGTTAAAGAGCACTTCTCTGTCTTATGGTGAAATCCTCATGGGAGGTTTCTGGCGAAGCCTCTGCTCTACCCACCCTCCAACACTGTGGGGCAGCCAGTAATGACACCCCCTTCCACACTGCGATGGCCCCCCCACTTTTAGTTCCTTTTAATTCTCCTGCCACTTCCCCCAGCCCCATCAGTGGGATCCGCCCGGCTCCCCGCTGTGTTTCTGAACCTGCTACACCTCTAGAAAGACTCCCCACTCGTGGGTGTTAAGCTCAATGCAAAATTCAAAGCTGTTTCTTAGCCCACGGTCTGCTGACAACTCTCAGCTCAGCAAAGCTCTCATTTTCCAGCTATTTAAAAATATATATAGATATAAAGCAAATGGCAAATTTCCCTAAGCTCCCAAGCAGCTATCAAGAAAGAGAGTATTTCACGACATCACCTCTGTCCATGCAGCCCTCAAACCACAGGGAAAGCTTGGCTCATCCAGCCTAAAACCTGCCTTCCCAAAGGCTGGGCAACCTCCCTGGGGGACGTGCAACCCTGAGTCCTTCCTTGCTCAGGGTCAAAGGCTGCTGTGCCCGTCCTGAAGCTGCTGCCCTGCAGCCATGGCCTGCCCCTTCCTGCTTTGCTGCTGACCTTCCCCTCCCACCCCCTCTCTGCACTTTCCCAGTGGCTGAGGAGGATCCCAGAGAGCTCCTGCCTGATGAGAAGCACAGCCATGTTCAGGGTGAAGACTGCCAACCTGTCCAGTGTCTCAGAAGGTTGTGCATCAACAATGCAAAAGAAGAGGGGAGCAGAGCCTCCAGCAGCAGCTCCAGGCAAGGGGTACAGCAAAGCACTTGTGAGCTGGTGGCTTTTAAAGAAACCATGTCCCTTGTGTCGCTTCCAAAATCCTGACAGATAGGTTGAACACAGGGGGATGTGCAGGGTCCTGGACTGCTAGCGGCGCTTGGGCAGACACACAGTGTGAGGTCAGTGCTGAGGTCTGGGATTGCCCTGGGCCCAGGGCACTGCTGGCCCTGAACACTCGCTCCCACACGCTGGATCTGCTCCCTCAAAGGCAAGTGCAACATGCAAGCACGTGGAAGGACCCTGTGCACAAGGTGCAGACGTGTGCAGGGACCCTGCACGCTGCAGGCAAGGCTGGAGGCATCACCGTACCAAGCAGGGGCTGCAGGTTGTGAGCTGCTCCCACACAACCCCCTCGATCACAGCCCTCTGCTTTGCAGGGCTCCAGAAACTCGCTCCAAGCTGCATTTACTGAGAGTCCTGGGTTTCTCCCCATCCTGGGGACATCAGTGTGGCACCGAGCACCCAAACCACAGCTTACACCACCTCCTGCTCCATGTGCAGGGCCGAGTGGGCGCAACACCAACACGGAGACCCTTCACCTGGCATCAGCCACTTCCCACCTTTAAATCCACAGGCAAAACCCCTCCATCTTCATCTCTTTCTAAATGTTGGTGATTGCTTCCCACAGTCCAGTCTGACACAGGAGACCATGTATCCTTTAAAATAACCCCCAACAAACTAAGCAGCAGCAGCACCTCCACCCAAGAGCTGCATCTCACAAAGGCGAGGGCGGAAAGGAGAACACGGCAGGTCACCCAGAAAATGAGCACCACAAGCACTACTTACCTGGGCCACATGACTTTGTAAGACACAGCCCAACACCCCCCCAAAACTACTTAATCCTGCAGCACTGGCCAGACAAGGTGATGGCACAGACATCCCGAGGTGCCAAATGAGCTGCAGAGCCACCATCAGCATTTCTCTCTTCTCCAAGCATGGGAATCACCTTGGATCCCCCAGCACAAATCCTGCCCAACCCCTCCAGGCTGGGAGCTGAGATAACTCCACTGAGACCCATGGTGGAGATCACCCCTTAGTGGCATTTCCCAGATGTCCCTCAACTTCACCACCCCCAGACCTGCTTTGGCAGGTGGAAACCTCCTGCCTCATCTTTGCCATTAATTAGTACTATCAGGCTGATTGGCTTTGTGCCTCCCAGACATTTCCTGATCCACCCGTGAGCCCCAAAGCCTCGGTGCAGGTGGAAGAGACGGATGCTACTCTAGAGAGGAAGGCTTTCCATCTAAGGGAAATCCCCTCATCCCCAAAAAAATACTGCTTCCAGGCGGTCTTCCCACCCGGTGAGCCAACCCCCCTCCCTGCCTCAGTGTTTCACTCAGAGGTTGGCATGAATGCCATGAGATGTCAGCAGGGAGATGATGGTGTTACAGCCTTGTCTGACCCCGCCCCACCCTGTGACACTTCCACATCCTCTCCAGCATGTAAGCCCCCAAATTTAGGCTAAGATCTGTATTTCCTGGGACAGTATCCCTCATATTTATAGCCATAGAGGAAGAGCATGGGAGAGGATGCTGCTGCAGCCCAAAGATAAGCCTGAATTCTTACTGCTTCCCCCACAACTTCAAACTCAGCGCTGGCTTTTGCCCCAACACGCAGAGGTTAGAGACTGCTGCCTGTTTTCAGCCCTAAACCATCTTCTGACTGCCAGCAAAATGCAGTCCTGAGCTCATGTTCAAGGAAGGAAAAAAAAAAAGTGTAAATTCCTCTTTATGCCACCACAGTTTGACTGTGAGGAGGCTTGGTCACCTCGGCAAGGGCAAGAACAGGTTAAACTGCAGAGGTACAAGGGAGTAAAGTAAAAATGAGCCATCCCTTCTAGCTGAATGCTCATTCCCTGCATCCCACATCCCTTCATGCTCAGAGGGTCTCAAGTTCCTCTCCTGGGGCTGCTTGACACCCACCTCGTTGATGCGGATCTGCTGGAGCTCCTGCTCGGCTGCGGTCAGCGGGGCTGGGGCAGAGCTGGAGGACACGTGCTTTTGGTAACCACTCAGGGACACGTCTTCCTGCAGACACAGGGACAGGGAGACACATCAGGGGTGGTTATCAGGATGCACCCCTAGCCTTGAGGTAAGTCTGAGCAACCCAGTGGGTCTTGGGCTCCCTCCTTACCAGGAGGATCAACCTGAGTAGTGCTCTTGGATGGCTCCAAGCAAATCCCACACTTGATTTTAAACAGTGCCCATGACTGCTTGTGCCTGTTCAGACCACCCTGTTCCTCCCCAAGCACGGGTGGCTGTGGCAGTGTGACTCTTCCAGCTGATTAATGGAGCTCATGAGCATGGAAGTGAGAAGAAAAGGCAGAGCCCACAGCCCGGGAGCAGCAGAGCGGGGCCCCAGAGCAAGAGGGGGAATCTTCTGGAGCAGAGTAGGGATCTCCCTGGCTCCCACCAGCACCAGAAGCCCCAGCAGGACTGATGCCCAGGAGGCCCTAGCTGTGCAGCTCCTTCTGCCCATGGAAGAGAAGGAGAAACCTCCATCCAAGGAGGAGGGATAACCCTGACACACAGGCAGCTGTCGCTGCTGGAGTGACACTGCCACCACCTGGTGCTTCTCCCACTCAGTGTAAAGCTCCACATCTTGGAGCCTTCCTCCCACCTCTTCCACGGTCTCTATCACAGACCACAGCCATGTAAGCAGGAGAAGGTGGCAGTGGCCACCCAGGAGACTAAAGCAGCGTGAGGGACCAACCTCTGTGCTGTTCCAGCATCCCACATCCCACACCCAGGCACTGAGCCCGGGGTAGGCTGCTGACACTCAAAAGTTTCAAAAGGACCCAAAAAGATGCACCAGGAAACACCAACCATACCTTCACTGTGCCAAACATCTCGTCCTTTATGTGCCCCCCTCCAAACTCCTTCTTCACCGTGGCTCTGGTGGCAGCGTAGAGCATCTTCAGCCGGACCTGCCGGGGAGAGGGGCGGCAGCGCCGTCACAGAGGGGCACGGGCCACCAGGGAGGTGCCCAACCCTCACAGCCACCATCCCACCACCAGCTCCACAAACATCAGCCCTCCTGGGAGCAACCACCTAGTTTCCAGCTCAGTCTGATTTCTAATGGCAGCATCCCTGAGTGGGGAGCAGGCGGGAAAACCCATCAGCACTGTTTCCAGGGCTGCCGGCGCCTGGCGCAGCCTTGCCAAGCACAGCCCACAATCCCACAGTTTATTCCATGCTTTGCTTTCCAAACCCCGAGCTCCAGTGTGCCATTTCTCACCCACACCTGGGTTGGAGGAGGTGCAAATACCACTGGAGCCACTTAAAAGTGACTTTTGCCTTTGGCACTTCTATTGCCTCGTTCTGCAACACGCAGGGAAGAGCTTTGGCAGGTGCTCCTGGGCACACTGTGCTTTTGCAATAAGACCCTCTGTGGTTTGTTGAAAGATATATATTTAAAATATATATTATTATATAGACACATGTATATATACATGTACACATATACACACATATAAAATTAGATATTATATCATTTTATTATAATTGTATATACATGTGTGTATACATACACATGTGCATATATAATAATACCTAATTGTTAGATATATACCAAGGAACTGCAGTGCATATTTTTATATACGCATGTTATAATATATAAAGTAATATATATTACATATATTTGTGTGTGTATATATATACTTATATATATATGACAAGTGCCTGTATTAACATGGTAGTAAATCTATATAGTATAAAGATTATATAAAATATATAATAAGTATCTATATAAGTATATATGTGTGTATATATATATTTGCACATATGTGTGTGTGTATATATATATATATATGCATATGTATACAGATGGCAAGCACACATGTTAACACAGCAGTAAATGTCAGGCCCACCAAAAGCCCATTCCAGAGATGTGCTCAACAGGATGGCATTTTCCAAGCCGTACTGCTGACACCCTCTAAACCTGCCTCTCATCCAGCAGGCCTTTTTTGCCCAATCTCCAACACCTGATTTTGGAGCCAGGCCTGGAGAAGGGCTGGCAGCCACTCCTTCAGCAGAGCAGGGCCAGGCTGGAGGCAACTCAGTGCCAGTACTGGCTCTTCCCAGAGAGAAGAGGCTCTGGCCAGAGCCATGGTGGGATGTCTCCATCCTGGCCCTGTGGTCCATACTGCTCCCCCCTCTACATCCCAGCCCTCTCACCTCCTCAGGCAAAGAGGACAGAGAGACACAGTCCCAGTGCATCTCATCGTGTCTTAAAAAATTCCCCCATCCTCAAAGCAACCTCCACTTCTTAACCCAGGCACAGTGATGGAGGGTGTGAATGCTCCTCCTCACCCCCAGAGCAAAAGTCACCTTGGCCACCACCTCCTCCCCCCTGCACCTCCCAGAGCACGTCCGTGCCCCCCTGCTGGGGTGTCACAGCCCAGCACGGAGCTCACCGGGGAGCTGTCGGGGGACCAGGAGATGAAGAGCCACTCGTATCCCTGGGCGTTCTGGCTGTCCAGGCGGTACAGCACATAGCACGGCTGCTGCTCGTCCAGCAGGGGCAGCACGAAGGGATCGTAGTCAGCGTCCCAGCGCCGGGACAGCTCTTTGTGGGCTCCCAGCACAAGCTGTTCTGGAAGGAAAAGACAGGGAAGGGGGTGTTAGATAAAGGCAAGGCTCACTTTGCAGCACCAGACGGTGGCTCACCCAAGGGTTCACTGCAGCTCCAGCACCAACGATGCCATCCTGCAGAAAAACACTGTGACCTGGAGCCACATGCAGCAGTGTACCCCCCCAGGTGTGACCCCCCAGGAGATGCCATTGGGGCTGTGGCTGCTATGGAGGGGCTGGTTTTCTGCCAGCATCCCACTGTCTCCTCTCAACCATCTCCTCCCCTCCAGTGCTCCTCACTGCCAAGGTCTCCTCTCTGGTGATCACCTGTGGCCTCCTTCCTCTCTGCTCCCTCCAGTTGTGTAGTTCTCAACCATCCCTTCTTGCTCACAGGGGAACATGAGACTCCTCCAATCCCACCTGGGAAGCTCTAGGGGCACTATAATATCTCACCAGGGACACGAGGAACCACCAGCATTTGGGGTGCTGAGAAAAAATAAGGGTCTCATTGCAAAATCCACTACCATGAGCCAAAGCTGCTCACATCAGATTCCTTTAACCACAGAGGGGACAAAATGAGAGCTGACACCCAAAGCCTATGTTTGTGGAAATCAGGGGTATCCCAGAGACCCCAGCCAGGAGAGCCCCAGCCTCTGGAAGTGACTTAAGTATTTCACACACGTGGCAGCATCTCAGGTATCTTTTCAGGTATTTTTTCAGCTGCTACACAAGGGGCAGTGGGGCTGGGAGCCCTGTGAGCTGGGCACTGCTCAGCTGGCATTTAAACACTGGAGCAGGCATCCTACAAACATAAAAACCACCCCCTGGTGAGGGTCAAACCAAGCTTTGGGATGGCTGAATGGAAAAGTGTTGGCACTGGAGACGATTAGTGTAGGTTGCTGGAAAACAGCCTGTATTTTTATTCCATTTGTAGATGCAGAAAGGTCTGGGGGGAGACTATGAGACTCAGAACAAGATGTAGGAAAATCTGGAGGTGCCAAAGCAAATGAACTAGGGCCTTGAACAATTGGCACTTGAGGGGATGCTTGGCCTGGCACATGCCCTGCCTGGACCTCTGCCCACAGCCCTGCTGCCCACTGGGAGCCAGGGAGCCCCTTGGCTGGGGCACAGCCCTCTCCCAACCCATTCAGGCCAGCAGCTCTAAATCCCATGGCAGGGAAGTTTTAAAAGAAAATAGTTGAGGAGGACATTCCTGAAGACAGCAGTGCAGCCCTTCCCTGCCCAGTGCCACCCTGGCATCTGCCATCACACACTGAATCCAGTTATTTGAGCATAGGTAGTGCAAGTTACCAGTTCAGTAACAAGGACAGCAGAGAACAAGGTGCTGGAAATACTATACCTTCAACAAAACTACCTGTTTGAAGAAAGAAGCATAAAAACTTCCGTGTACCCCTAAAATAAGCACAAAGCTCTGCAAGTCGATTTGTGCATCACAAAGACCTGGGATCCCAAAGAGACTGCAGGAATTTCACCTGGCCAAACCCACTGGCAGCTCGTGGGTATCTCTGTCTGCAACACATACCAACACCTCACGCACGAAGCAATGAAGCAATCGGTGCTGAGTCACTCCAGGCTATTCCCGGGATGTGACTAAGCCGGACCCCGGCTGTGCTGCCGTGAGCTGGCAGCCTCCAACTTTCCCCTAGGCTCTTTGTAGTTCTGCTCAATCCACTCAGGGCCAAATTTTTCTCCTTAGGAAGAGTCAGGAAACTCGAAGCAACCGCCCTTCAGCAAAGCATCATCGTCGGCACTGGGTCTTTCAGGCACCATTTCTACTGGGAGCTGCTGCTAGAAAAGCAGAGCTGAGAGTGTTTCTGGCCCTCAAGGTGCCCCCAGCACTCACTGCACACAGGCTGCCTCACTCTGACATGCCTAACAAGGAAGCTCTGCCTTCAGCTCTGGTGGGTGCCATGGGGGACAGCACAGGAGCTCCAATCTGCAAAGCTCAGTGCACAACAGCACTCAAGTGTAAAGATTGGCACCCAACAGGGAAGTCCACAAAGTCAACCTTGTCCAGAATCCTGCTGACAGTGAGAAGCAGAGCATCATCTAAAAACACGTTGAACCACAAGCTGCTCTCATGCCAAACTGCTGCTGAGCCTTGGTGCACATCCTGCTCTCCCAGTCCTCCTCCATCCAGCCTTAGCTTTTCCCCGTAGGTCTCCAAAGGCAGCATCAGCTCAAATCGCTCCAAAGGGCTGCTCAGCCATAGATGTGGCTTTGGGGATGCCTAGACACAGAGCATCAGCCACAAGGCTCCTTGCACCATCTTTCTCTCCTTCTACCCACTGTTGCCTGCTCCGAAATGCACCGAGACAAATGCCCGGCAGGGCACAAGGTGTCTGCAAGCCATCAAACAAAGATGGAGGCTCCTCTTCCTCATCCCCTGTTCAGGCAGGGCAGCTGGTACGTCCTCCCCAGCCAGCTTGGGACACATCCCTTCCAGGACCAGCATGCTGGAGTCCTTCTATCTGGCTGTGACATCTGCCTGGACGCTCATTACTGCCCAAAGGTCCATCTCCAGTGGGTACCAGCAGGCTGATCTTCCCTGTGTTACAGAAGAGTGGTGGCCCAGAGGGGCCAAGCGCCTTGTCCCTGAGTCAGGCTGGTGGGACCACCACCACTTTGTCCACAACAGTTCAAGCCCTTTGGCAGAGAGGTGCTCCCACCAATTCTCCTTCCTCCTGCCTACCCACAGGAGCCTCAGGCTCTGCTGCACCTCAGAAGCTTCTGCAGGCACCCAAGTGCCTCCAGAGCTGCCCATGGCAGGGAAAAGCAGCTGGCAGAGTGGGAGAGCTGAACTGTGAAGCACAAAACACTGCCAGATGAGGATGGTCCACGAAGCAGCCGCTGCCACATTGGACATATAAGTATACCCTATTTATCCTCAGCAGAGATGGTAGGACACGTTTTCCGTTGATGATAAAACGTCTCACTTGCTGGTGTCACCAGCCACAACCCAAAGCCTAAGACCAAGCTTAGGGACATCCATGAATTGCGTTATCCTAACACAAACCTGACTCCCACTTTTTAAAAGCAAAAGACGGTGAGAGCACAAAATTGTTGTCAAAGATGCTCCAAAGAAACAATGTGGATGTCTCATCCCACCACACAGGGACCTGGCCGAGGACAAAGCCAACACAGCTGAACCTGCTGTAGCCCCAGTGATGTGTCCCTTCAAGTGGCATTTTAAGTCTTGCTGCTCTTCCGAACGGGGTTTTGCAGCCACTCCAAAGGTCACTGTGGGCTCCTTACGACCACATCCACCTCAGTATTTGTGGCATGGTCCTGGTGGCCCACCAAGGGAGGTGGTGACAGCAGCTTGGCAGGGCATTAATGTCCCTGCTGCTGGAGAAACAAGTCATTCATATGCAATTGTATGAGGCCAAGGTGATGGAAAACCTACACCAGAGTGGCTCCCCGCTGGGATGTTCAATCAGTGCTTTGCTCCACTCGCTTGACAGATGTAGAGGCCACCCAAAGGCACCTTCCCATGGGACAAACACAGGCAGGTTGGTGCCACCTGCATCCTGGGCTAGGGGCAGTTCCATGAGATGGGATGGCTTTCTGAGTGTAGCATCCCTTGTGGGAGGAAACTGGGGCCCTGTGCTCGGCCCTGTGCCACAGAGCACCCCCTTGCCCACCCCTGCCCCAAACACCTCCTTACCTGGTGTGGGATGCCACATCTGAGGAGGAAAATGCCTGTGCATCACCCCCAACAAAGGTCCCATGGTCCCTGCAGCAGTTTGTCACAGGGTTCCCATCACAATTCCACACAAGAGCAGCAAAAGCCCCCCAGAGCCCAGCACAGATCCCGGACACCAGTGCTGCTCTGCTGGCAAAGTCACTGCTCCCCGCTGGAGCTGCCCCAGGGCTCCAATAGCTGCTCACCAGCACAGCCAGATTTTGGGCTTGTATTTCAGGTCTGGGCTGCCACGTGCCAGGAAGCCCCAGCAGCATTTTCCTTGAGGTTTCCAAAAACACGAGCTGGCACCACAGTGGTGAATAGGAGAGGAGGAGAGGAAACAGAGAACAGACATGGTGTAAATCAAAGCACTTAAAAACAGGACTTACCATCCTCGATGACGACCTTGATGAGCCGAACTGAACCGTTTCGGGCTTTGGCAAAAAAGTCCCTTAATTCTGTGGTGGCTGAAAGAACCAGAAACATCGTGATCAGATTTAGCAATCAAAGGAGGTGCTGGGCTCTCGGTGACTGACCAGGGAGGGGATCGACTTGGCAGGATAGAAATTTAAAAATTTTTTGTAAAAAAATTAAATCTCTGGTGCCAAAAAATAATTATAATAAAAAAATAATAGTAAAAAGCCCAAAAAGCTGGGAGTAAAGTGCTGCGTCTCCCTGACGTGTCACGGTTAAATAGCAGCTGGGAGCACATGTGATCCAGAGAACCTGATACTTGGCCTGGGTGAACATAATCACCCAAATTTAGACGATGGCTTGGCCAGTGCAGGCAGGGAGAGCTCAAGTGACAAGTTGATTCGCTTTGCAGAGCGGCAGGGTTTGCATACTAGGGGTGGTTGGAAGATGTCCCAGCAGGCTGTGACATCCCGGCCCTGTGACACGCGGCAGGATGCTGCTCCCGAGCGGTTGGGAACCAGCACCACTCCAAACTGGAGACACTGGTTTGAAGCTGAGCCCTGGGGAAGGGAAAGGCAATAGCCCCAGGGTTTTGCTCCGGAGCCAGCAGGGCTTTGATTGCACAAGGCTTTTGGGAAGCGTTTAGGGGAGCTACCTTCCCGCTCATCCCCCATCCCTGAGACCTGGCAATGGCAACTGGTCTTCAGCATCCTTCCAGGAGGCAATTGGAGGCAGTGGATATTGAAGGAGCAGCCCACAGCCAGCATGGGAGGCTTCATCTCCCCATCCTGAAAGCATTACTGGCACAGAGCTCCCCATCCCACCCAGGACATGCTGCGTGTGAAGGTGATGCCCAGGAGATGTGGCCTGGAGGGGCCGACCCCCCGATAAGGAACATCCCACAGGCCAGCTCCCCCTGAAACCCCTTCAGTTACACACCCAAGCCCTTTGCTGGATGCAGCCACGCAGCCAAGGGGGCCCTGTGAGTTCAAAGCTGCTGCACTTGTTAGAAATACTAAAGAAAGTGATACTGCAAATATTAGAGACCTGGGCAGATGCCCCTCAGCCCACAGGACAGATGCCCCTCAGGATCCATGCTCAGTTCCCATGAGCAGCCCCCTGCTCCTGGTGCCTTGCTGTGCTACCTGCCCATTACTGACGGCTGTGCCAAAGCAGCCAGCAGCAGGAAGGAACCCTGCTTGGGTCCCTGGAGCCTGAGAGCATCCTTGGTCAAGGCACTTTGCAAAGGAAGCCATCCCTACATCAGTTGGAAAAGTGCAGTGGTGGGACATGCCATAGCAAGGGCTGTATCCATTCTGGTTCAGTCCCTCCAGCAGTGGGTTGGCACAGCCCCAGCATCACCACAGGAGGAGCCTCAACATTACCCAGCACCCACCCAAGGGACATGGTGGCCAGGGACTGTCACACAGCAGTGCCCTCTGTCCCCTGGAGCCACACCCTGGGCTGAGGCACTGCCCGCAGCTCTCCCAGCCACCAGGGAGAAGGAATCTCTGGGGTGCCCCCAGGAAACTACTGCCTGTCCCCCACAAGTGACACTTTTGCGATGCATTTGCCCCACCAGCTCAAAGCCTGCCATGGTCAGAGGCCCAGGTGGCTTCCCCTCCCATGGAGAGAAGAGGCACACATGAGGAAGAGCTTCCAGGCTGGTTCCCTGCAGGCAGCAGTGCTCCCATACAAAGCCAGAGAAGCCATTCCAACAGGACCCTTTGGGAACAGGCACACAGACACCCCAGTGAAGGCACATCACTCCTTAATGGCATTTTAGGGGCCACTCAGGTGGTTTGCTGGTGTAATCCCACCACAAGCAAACCACCTTTCTCCCTCCATCAGCATCAAGGCATGTAGCCCTACCAGTTCCCAGAGCAGACCTTCACCCCCTCCCAGTGCCAGCTGGAAGCTCAGCTTGCTCCTGCTGTGCCCAACCAAGGATACTCCGATATTTTTAGCCCCTTTCTCTGTTGAGAGAGTCTGTTTCCTTCTGGCAGCATCTGTGGTTACTGCAAACACACAAGGCGGAAGAGGAAGAGATAGAGAGACATTTATACATTTATACACCCAGGAAACCTCGGGCTGGAGACAAAAGCTCCTAACAAGCATTAAGTTTCACCAATTCCTGTTAAACTGCCAAAATGGGAGAGAATAACATCCGTCTTGCATGTTTCTGTAGCATCAACTTTGGGGAAGAAACAGGAAAGCTCTGCAGCAGTAACTGGCTTGCAAATCCCTCCAGCCTGACCTCATCCTTCCCAGAACCCAGGGGTATGTGGGGGGTGTGGAAAATCACCAGTCTGGGCAAATGCAACCTGCTAGCCCCCTTGGAAATGCTAGGAGTGCCCTGAAGTGTTGGATCAGTGGCTGGGATGATCGACAGTTGAGTGATTGACAAGTGATGACCAAGAGCTGGGACCTGTGTTGGTACAGAAGGGTTGAAGGGGATAAGGAAAAGCTTGGATGCTGCCAGACAAGCCCAGCGCACCATGGGAAATACCACAAGGTCTGCCAAGGAGGAAGACTATTTCCAGAGGAGATGGCAGCAAAAAAAAAAAAGAAATCTCACAGGGGGCTTTCCAAGCTTTAAATCTGCTGAAATTAAAAAAAAAAGGTAATTTTCATTTAAATAAAAAAAATCACCAGGGTGTCTTCAACGTCCCCTTTTGCCTCTCATGACGCAGATCCAAGAGACAGTGAGGAGGGAGAGGAATAAACCAGCGAAGGTTTGAGCATGAGCTTGGCAAGTGTTTCGTTACAGCAAGATTATGATTTAATTGGCACAGCAGACTTGACGAGATGGCTCACGTGCCTGAAATATCAATACAGAAGTCCACAGCTGGCTCTGGAAGAAAGGCAGGGAGGAGACTTCACCCTGGAGATGGTACCTCTGCCACATGGCATCTCCCTGCCCAGAAGTCTCCAGGACACAACTCAAGGGCTGAAAAACCCACACGTGGGGAAACCATAAAAACCAGGGAAAGGAAGGTGCAACAGGGCAGAGGACTGGAGGGGACCCACACATCCAACTCATCCTCTAGACATGGGTTCCTGGAAAATCCTGGAACAAATAATCCAGAAACAAACCCAAGGTGGGCTACAGCCTGTGGTAATCTACTGAGACCAAATTGCATGAGATCCCTCATGCTTCTTCCAGCAGAGCCACAGACCTGTGGCTTCAGGGGTCTCAGCTCTGGTTCTAAACATCTCAAGCCAGCTTAGGAAACATGGGGGTGGTGAACCTCTATGGCACGGACACAAAACCGCATGGATAACTCACTCAGGGAGGTATCAGAGGTTGGATCCAGCAAGGTCTCCTGGGGACCTGTGGTGGGTCCAGGTTTATCCACATTTCCATGAACACTTCTGGCAGCTGCAATAGTGCTTCCTGCAGCTGTAAGGTGGGAAGCTAGAGGAGATGCAAGCACACGCTGGAGAAAAATTCACCGTTCTTTCAGGAGACTGGAGAAATGGGCTGGGAAAAAAAGAAATAGGATAAAACTCAATAGGAAGCCAAGAACCGTAACTAGGGGAAGGCCCAGCTATGATGACCAGCAGCTCCAGAGAAGAGAGGTGTGTCACAAGCCAAGTTCAGGTTAGTTGCTTCACGTTGTTGCAGGCAAAGTCATTCGTGAAGGCACGAACAAGAGCGTGACCGTGTTATTTGGTGCTGACAAGGCTGCAGGCACAGCAGGAACAGCACATCCAGGCTCAGCATCGTGCAAGGAGCAAGGCACAGCACAGACAGCACCTGTGCCAGGAGGTACAGCGTGTGGGAGAAACCAAAGGAACTGGGGCCGGTCAGCCCAGAGCAGGGAAGAAAAATCATGAACAGCTTGTACTGGTTTTCCAGCCAGAAACATCAGGTCCCACCTTGGCATTTGGGAAATCTCGTGATGAGGGTGACCAAACCCTGGGAAAGAGAGACACCAAGTATCCATTCCTGCCCTGAAAAACTGCCAGAAATGCTCCTGGGATGTTGCTGCTTTGAGGCAGGGTGAGCTTGGTGGCATCTGAGGAACCTTCTGGCGTTTCTACAAGGTAGCCCTGCTGTCCATCCTCCTGGCAGACGTGGTGGGCACAAGCACCTCTGCCTCCTCAGCCACCCACCCAGCCCAAAATCTCCTCCAGCCACCGAGTCGTGCAGCACCTCCCTCTCCCACTTGTTCGTAGGCTGCAGATGAGTTGTCCCCTACTCATGAGCCATCTGCACTTAGCAGGCTGCTAACAGCGTGTCCCAGGTCCCCTTGCACCACACAACCTCCCTGCCCAGCGGCACCTGCCACCCCTTTGGGATGGAGGGCTGAGCAGAGCCCTCAGCACCAGAGCACCCAGGCTGGGCAGCTCACAGCGTAGCAGGGAGGTGATGGTTTGGGCAGTGGTGGCCTTCAGGTGGCCCTGATCCTGCAGGCAAGCTGCCAGAGGAGAATTGGAGCTTGTGGGAAGGCATGGCAGGGCCTCCCCTCTGGCAGCGCTGAGCAGGCACAGCCCAAAGCCTGAACCCCCTGAGCTGGGGAAGCAGCAGGGCAGCCAGATCCTTGCACCTACTGCTCAGACGTGCTGTTGGCAGCCAGAGCAGACACTGCCCTGCCCTGGGATGTGCCCCTCTGGATCAGTCCCAGGAGGTTTCAACGCCAGGCTTGAGGCATCATGTTTGCCTAAACTGCTGAAAGATGGTGCCTGCAGGTACCACCCCATCAAACGCCATTCCCAAACGGAGCCTTTTTCTGATGTTTACAGCCCCAATTAGCTTATCTGAGCAGAGCCTTGCTGTGAGGAGGCCGGAGGGGGAGAGAGGCACCCGGCAGTGATGACAGCCGTAGCCACAGCAACGGCCACTCTGTCCCTGGGGATGCCAGGGTGCCAGCAGAGCTGCCCGCGCAATCCCCAGGGAAGCACCGCGGGGATGGGGATGGAGGCGACAGCCACTCTGCCTCCCCCGCGCCTCCCCCTCCTCCATCCTGCTTGCTTGTCTGGGCAGCAACAGGTTTTTGCTTATCTGACCCTTCCCAGTCCCCCCTCATCCCGGTGCCAGCACCCAGCTCCCAGATCAATAATACATGCTCCCTGAAACAGATGCCTCTCTCAATAACATCGAGTCACCTTGTCCTCCCCGACGGGAAACCCGAGCCCCCAGCCATCAATCTTTCATTCCCTGGACATAATCTTCAAGACGATGCCGCTCCAAGCGGTTGCTTCCCTTTCACTGTC